TGGTAGGTGGGTGTATTTTTATAATGTATTAATCATTTGCCGGAACCGGAAGAATCGTACCACTATAACATATAGCTCCCATACAACTGATTGTTCAGATATGAGATTTTTCGTTATAACTTCTCCATTTATACAGCTACGAACATGAAATTTTGCAATACTTGCACCCATTATCAACAGAATACTTACAGTGAAAATCACAATGATCGGGTCACTATAACCTATAGCTCCCATACAACTGATTGTTCAGATATAAAATTTTGCGTTATAACTCCTCCATTTATATAGCTAGGAACATGAAATTCCGCACTGTTTTCAATAATTATCAACAGAAAACTTACAGTGAAAATTAAAAAGATAGGATAACTATAACCTATGGCTCCCATACAACTGATTGTTCAGATATGAGATTTTTCGTTATAATTCATCCATTTATGTAGCTAGGACCATGAAATTTCGCGCTGTTTTCACTCATTATCAACAGAAGACTTACAGCGAAAATAACAAAGATCGGGTCACTATAACCTGCAGCCCCCATACAACTGATTGTTCAGATATGAGGTCTTTTATCATAACTCCTCCATTTATGCAGCTAGGAACATGAAATTTCGCACCATTTTCACTCATTATTAACAGAATACTTACAATGAAAATAACAAGGACCGGATGACTACAACATATATCTTCCATACATCTGATTGTTCAGATATGGGATTTTACTGTAAAACTTCTTTATTTGAACAGCTAAAACCGATAAATTTCGTAAGATATTTTATAAATAATAATACAAAGTCTACTGAGAAAATCGTCAAAATCTATGCTGTATGAGCTTTAACTCCTATAGCACTGATTGATAAGATACCAGTTTTTGCCATATATCTCCTTTATGTACGAAACTAAACCTAATAAATTGTGTTACCGGTTTACATACCGATCACATAGCGTTGAAAATCACTCAGATTGGTGTCATATAAAGTATATCTTCCATACCTCTGATTGTTTAGATGCGATTTTTTATATAAGTATGTAACTCCTCTATCGATGTATGCAGATGTATTCAAAAGCAGTAATCTGTCAAAGTAAAATTTGCAGATGTTCATGAAAGGTATGAAGCCTTTGGCATAGCCGAAGACAGCGCTGCTCTTACTTGTTTTTTCTGAAAATGCACTTATATGATGCTAGCAGATTTTCGTGCCAGTTGAGGGCACAAAAATTGTTGCCCATTATGATAAAGTTTCCTTGCTGGAAATTTTTTGAGGTTGCCCGATTAGAGCCAAAAGTTTTTCCCAATTGGGCTCTAATTTTGGCCCAATTGGGGCCCAATTAGCGCTTTGCCCAATCTACCGAAGATTTCCCCAACCAGTGCTCACAATTTGCTCAAAGTGAACATGCATACGCAATTAAAACGTTTTTATCGATAAAATCACACATACACACATCAAAATTCCCTACGAAAAAAAATATTTTTTAATTTTTTTTCTTGAAAATTTTCCATACAAATTTTTTGATAAACAAAAATTAGTTTTTGAAAATATGCCATCTCAAAAAAAATGGAAAAAATCACAATGCTAGCTCTGAGTATTGCGCAATATTTAAGTATAATTTTATGGGGTGCACTCCACAATAATTTGAGTTGTGAATTTTTTTTTACACCGAAGTTGAGTAAAATGAAGGAAGAAAGTCTAAATTCGGGCGGAGCCGAACATTAAATACCCGGCGCACGTATTAAATATATGTTTTCCACCTTTCCGAAAGCTACCGCTACATGATAAGCCGGGGCGTATAAATTTTAAGTAAATTAGAGTCCTTAAATTTCGAAATTTTGAAGCTTCAAGCAGTTCTGAAATTTACCGTTATATGAAAAGCGGCCTCAATTTTAGTCCGCTTTCAATAATTTTCAACGTTTTGCTTTTATGTGGCAAGCACAATAACCATACCGAGTTTGGTACAAATTGGTATAACGGTTACCGAGATACATATATGTGATCACAAGTGGGCGGTTCCACGCCCATTTTCCAAAATTTTATCACAAACGTATTTCTTGGTTAAGAGTTGTTCCAAGCATCAATTTTGAATAAATTAGCTTTAATATTTACTGATTTATCGAAGATTTTGTATGTCTCTAAATTACCATTATATGGGATGTGGGCGTGGTTATTGTCCGATTTAAAAAATTTTCGGCCATTTGGTATGTTGTGCGAAGGCCAACAACTTTGCCAAGCTTGGAAGAAATTGGTACAGCGGTTACCAAGATATACACATGTAACCATAAGTGGGCGTGGCTACGCCCATTTTCCGAAAATTTATAATATTCTTATTTTTCAACTAAAACTTATTGCAAATATCAATTTTGAGTGAATAATCTCCAGTAGTTACTAAAATATCGCAGTTTTTGTATTTCTGAAAATTACCGTTATATGGCAAGTGGGCGTGGTTATTTTCCGATTTTAAAAATTTTCGGCCGTTTGGTATGTTGTGCGAAGGCCAACAACTGCGCTAAGTTTGGAAGAAATTGGTGCAGCGGTTACCAAGATATACACATGTAGCCATAAGTGGGCGTGGCCACGCCCATTTTCCAAAAATTTATAATATTCTTATTTTTCGTCTAAAAATTGTTGTAAATATCAATTTTGAGTGAATTATCTTCAGTAGTTACTAAACTATCGCAGTTTTCGTATTTCTGGAAATTACCGTTATATGGGAAGTGGGCGTGGTTAGAGTCCGATTTCACCCATTTTCAATGCCAACCTACCTTGGATAAACGGAAACCTACATACAAAATTTCGTTGAGATATCTCAATTTTTGCTCGAATTATCGTGTACACGGACGGACGGACAGACAGACATGGCTTAATCGATTTCTCTTTTCATTCTGATCATTTATGTATACATTTGTCTATATCTATCTCTATTCGTTTTGGCTGTTACAAACAACCGTTATGTGAACAAAATTAATATACCCTTGTGCACAAGTGTGCTTGGGTATAAAAAGTAGTTCTCCGGATCTGCGAGCATTTGAAAGTGTGGCGCACGAACTACCAAGGTGCATCCATACACAAGGTGGTGGCAATTGCAATATAAGTAAAAGTCCCGTGTATTTTGTTATTGCTTTTTGGTACAGGAGGATGTTAAAATGAAAGGGAATAAATAGGAGATAATTTTCGTGATTTCGTTGTGTTGACATCCTAAAGTTGGCCACTTCGTCTTGGATGACATTCTCCTGTACTAGTGTATAGACGAAAATATCCAATCAGCTGATCAATCAACACCACCTTGTATTGATGCGCCTTGCATACTACTGCTTGAATGGGTCGGATCACCATCTTGGTTCCGTTAGTTAGCTTGATCAGTCTGCATCTAGTTGGCTGCCCTTCGAAATCTGCATCAATGCTTTCTTGGTCAAAGTCTAGCTTTTTCACATAGTCCGGATCAAAATTTATTTCGAACTCCAGCAGGCACATGTCAGGAAAATCAAATCCTGCTCCTGTTTGCGTAGCGTTCGATGATGTTAGCACAAATACCGATAGCCTGATTTCCTTCAAATCGAAGAACCTGATATCGCTGTTCAGGTTTTCGAGTGTTCAAGAACACGCACTTTCTTGAACTCGACTTAGAGGCAATGGCACAGGCGATACACGCATTAAGATACAGATACTTGTCGCTCCTTCAAAATTCACATACACGATTTGAAGAGTTTTCCGGCGATATTCCTCGGCGATGGCTCACTTTTCGAAATATATTTCGAAATGTAATTAGCGATGGACTCATTTGAACCACATGGTTGAATGTCCATATTGCCCATCCAGAACTCCAAAATCTTCTGATTGTAATTGTTAACCCACCTCTCATTCGCTGATTGCTTCAAACTGCAGAATCGTCCACCATTTCTGATGAATTCATCTGAACTCGGAGGAACAATACGGGTCTGGTGGCATGGCTTGCCTGGGAAGGCAAATCGGCTCGTCTTCGAATTGTTCTTGAAGCATGTGTGTGTGGTGATGCATCTCGTTACGCATGACAAGTGCTCGTAAGTCGAAATCTTCTTCATCAGGCAAGTTGCATGAAATCACTCTATCAACTAAAGCTAGTCCTTCCGATATTTCGAAGGATGGAGGATTTTCTATCCATACGACAAGATGAAGATGAGGGCTTCCACGATTCTGGAATTCGATCTGAGACTAGTAATCGATAACCGTGCCACCAAGAAGCGTGTCATTGTGCTGTATTTGCTTCATAAAAGCGTTGACACGAAGTGAAAAGTGACGGCTCAGCACTACAGGATATAATACAAGTAAACGTTGCACGTCAACAATATTTAACTGGGCTGGACTTCGCTCTCTCATCAGCAATGAGCAAAGCCATGCGCATATCAAGCCAGTTGAGGTCATTAGAACTCAATGTCATAAACCATGTTGGAGGGCCTAGGAAACGAATGAATGCTACCAATTCGTTGCGCGCCGTACGCCAGTAAGAAGCCGATCCTCTAAGATTTCTGAGATGTAGGTGTAGATCTTCTACGACGCCTTCTTGTCCGCGAACGGCCCTGCCACAAGCGTTGATTGTGGACTGCCCTCGATGGAACTCAAACATCGAGAGGGCATAGAAGAGATAATCGGTCTTTTGAAAACGAGTATCCGTACTAGAGGGCTGCATGAATTCATTCAAAACGGCTTATGAGTTATTCATATACAAAACGAATGAATGATTTTGGCTTAACATTTACATCTAAACACTTCAGTTGCTGTTAGCGGAGTGACTACCGTTTATTACTCTTTCACTTTCTTTCTTATTACAGAGTGGCACATATAACATCTCTCCCCAGCTAGTTTTAAGTTAAGATTTTCTAACAAACTAATTCATTTTCATTAATGGAACTTAAAAATATAAATTGTGCATCAGAAAATTTGTAATTCTAGCATTATTTAGTTATTTACTTACAAACTCAAAAGAAATAATTATACTTATTTATGTAAATCCATATGCTTATCAGTGTGTGCGTTTTATTGATATTGCCATATATCTGGTTGTTTTGAAATTCTGCTTGAACGACGGATTTCGGGGCTAGATGGAGCGGAAACATGTACTTCGCTTGCTGACGATGTAGGGTCAGATGATCTCGCAATCGATGTTTCAGCCTGTTGCTCATAGCTATCTTCATTTCCTCGCTGCTGCTGCAGATGTTGCTCACCTTCGACACGATTTCCTAAATCTTGTCCCACACGGCGCATTTGGTCAGCATGACGTCTCCATGTCCTATTGTCGTCCAGTCGCACCTGGTAATGTAAATTTCCTGATGATTCTAGCACTTTACCGAACTGCCATTTATGCGTTGAGAGGTAATCTCTAACAGCCACTCTCTCCTCCTGGGAAAATTGTTTCTTCGGCTTCTCTGGTTTCGGTAAATTTTTTTGAGAACTTTTAGTCATTAGGTCTAATTTTGTTTGAATTTGAATGCCAAGCATTAACATTGCCGGAGACTTATTTGTTTCAGGATGAATAGATCGCCGATATGCCAACAAAATCGTATTTAGTGCCTTTTTCACATTTGCTTCTACGGCCTTAGCTGCCTTCAGCTTTGTCTTCAAAGTCTGGACAAAACGTTCTGCTTGCCCGTTCGTTGCGGGATGGTAAGGGGCACCTTGCTTATGCTGAATACCATTTCTCTTTAAGAAGTCTTTGAACTCACGGGAATTGAATTGAGTTCCGTGATCAGAAACGATTACATCTGGTATTCCGAAAGTTGCAAGGATTTCCTCGCATTTAAGTATCGTGCTTGTTGTCGTTATATTCGGCATAATGTGTACCTCCGTCCACTTTGTGTAAGCGTCAACTAAAACTAGGTAATACCTTCTTAAAAAGGGACCTGCATAGTCTATATGCACGCGCTCAAACGGTTTGCTTGGCCTCAGCCAGATATGTTTCGGTTCTATCTTAGCGGACTCAGGTCTCGTAGCCTGGCACTCTAAACAATTTGACACCAACTCCTCAATATATTGGTCGATACGCGGCCACCAGCAATACGCTCTTCCTAAAGTTTTCATTTTTTGTTATTCCGAAATGAGCAGTATGTAACTCATCTAATACCCTTTTCCTCAGCGTTTTAGGAATGTATACACGAATTTCCCTCAAAAGGCATCCATTCTGCAACGAAAACTCCGCTTGTGATACTCCGAACCGTTTTCTGCGGTGCACACACGGCCTACTCTCAGACTATGCACCAAGTCACGAATCTCTACTTCTGCCTCCGTTTGCTCTCGTAATTCATCCAGCATAACCGGTAAATTTGTTATAATCTCGCTCTCAACCACATCAACTTCTTCGGTATATTCATATGTATCTTTAACTGGTAATCTCGACACTGCGTCTGCATTAGCGTTGCCTGTCGAAGTCTTCACCTCTATGTCACAGTTATACGAAGATAAAAATGCTGCATAGTGTTGCATTCTTGTGGCTGTGAGCGTTGGCAACCACTTTTTCGGCGATAATATTTGTGAGATAGGCTTGTTGTCAGTAATTAACAAAAACCTTCTCCCGAACAAATATGGATGAAATCTTTTCACTCCAAAAATTACTGCATACGCTTCGCGATCGATTTGACTGTAACGCTGCTGCACTTTAGTTAAGGTTTGAGAAGCAAATTGTATTGGTCGTTCAGAACCATCATGATAGCGATGGCTAAGAACCGCACCTACGCCTATTGGGCTTACGTCAACAGCTAATACTACTGGCAGATTAGCGTCAAAGTGTGTCAAAATCATATCAGACTGCATTTGACGTTTCACTTCCTTAAACGATGATTCACAATTTGCATCCCAATGGAATTTCACGTTGTTCTGTAACAGGATATTTAATGGATAAATCAATGTGCTTAAATTTTTAATAAAACGCCCATAATAAGTGATTAATCCGATGAACGATCGTACTTCCTCTTTGCTAGTTGGTGTTTTCATCTCTTGTATCGCTTTGACCTTGCTTTGTGCTATATGTATGCCCTGTGCATCAAATGCGATCGCGCATAAATTCAGATTCGTCAATGTTGATCCTCATGTTATGGCTATTAAGTCGACGCAAAACTTCCTCAATGCGTTGAAAATTCTTAGCATCGTCTGAAGCCGTCACTTTGATGTGTTCTAAAAACACCGTTACTCCTGGTATGTCGTTTAACAACTGCTCCATGAACCGCTGAAAAATTGCCGGCGGACATGAAACCCCAAACATCAATCGTGTTGGCTCGTAAAAACCCTTGTGCGTGCTCAGTGTTAGTAGATGTCGGTCCTCAGGATGTACTTCTAACTGCAAATATGCTCGCGATAAATCAATTTTGCTGAATTTTTTAACCCCCAGCTACTTTACAGAATAGTTCGTCTATGGTGGGCAGTGGATGCTCATCCACAATCAATGCCTTGTTTACCGTTACCCTGTAATCTCCGCACACTCGTACCGCCCCGTTTTGCTTTGGCACCGCCACAATTGGCGTAGCCCATTCGCTACTCTCAACTTTTACAAGCAAACCTTCAGCGACCTGTTTGTCGATTTCACGTTCGACTGCATCCCATAAGGCAAATGGGGTACGTCTAGCTTTCTGTGCGATCGGCACTGTGTCTTTTTTAATGCGTAACCGAGCCTGAAAGTTTGTTATTCTCCCCACTGTTGGTGAAAATACATTAGGAAACTTTTCGCGCAACTTTGAAAGGGATGACTTGTGTTGGTCTTTTTCTTTAATTGAATAAACTTCAGCGCATTTCTTGTTCATCAGCCTTGCCCAATACAAACGGACAGCTTTCAGCCATTCACGCCCTAACAATGGTTTCCTATTAGCTCGCACAATATAAATCTGTTACTCCTATTTTCTGCCGTTTTTACTTTAACCCGTATGCGACCAACGCAATCCAATTCCGTGCCACAAAAGCTTAACAATTGTGTATCGCTAGGCAAAACTTGCAATTTAGCGAAATATTTCTTTGCGTCTACCAAACTTACAATTGTAACAGCTGCTCCTGTGTCAACCTCAAACTCTATTTTAACTTTTTCTACTTCTAATGTATACATTAGTTTGTCTCTTTCTCGCTCATTGTCTACACTCTTTATTTGTAACATTTCTTCTACTGTACGGGTCGTTTCACCAGCAACGTGGTGAATTTGCTTGTTTTCTTTCTTGCACATTTTCTGCAAATGACCTTTTACATTACAGCGGTAGCAGACGGTATTTGCATACTGACATTTTGCTGCTAGATGACTTGCACTTCCACACCGAAAACATTTCTTTTTACCTTTTTGATTTTTCCGTTCCTCTTCACATCTCATCTGCTTACTTTTGTGTGTTCGTACTTCGTTCACCATTTCGCTACTTACTGTTTGATGTAACTCATTTCCGCCATTTTCTGCCACTTCAAACGCTGATGCCATATTTGATGGTGAGGTCGTTTTCCTCCAATAACACTAGTATACAAATTTTGATTTTGAAAAAGTATTTTCTAGTGTAAGTAGCTTTTTTTATTTATGTTGACATACTGCATACGAAATTACAATTATATTTTTTTAATTAGTTTCCATTTCTTAAAAAAAAAATTTTAAAGTTTTTTGAAAAAATAACAGAAATTATACCGTTATTTTATTCATTAGTAGAATTGCGACGTGGTTTCTTCGCTGCCCTTTTGTACTCTGCTTCTGGAGTATCTCGATGAATAGTCCAGCAGTAATCCGCTAACATTGAAACGTTCCACTTGCCCTGATATCGTTTTTCCATGTTAGCGATGTCCTGGTGGAAGCGCTCCCCATGTTCATCGCTAAAGGCCCCACAGTTATCCGGAAAGAAGTCCAAATGAGAATGTAAAAAGTGGATTTTCAGGGACATGTTACAACCCAGTTCTTGGTAAGATGACAACATATTTTCAATAAGTTCAGCGTAGTTGTCGCTCTTCTTATTTCCCAAGAAGTTTTTTGTCACGAGGCGAAAATTGTCCCAGGCTTTTTTTTCTTTGCCTTCCAAAATAGTGTCGAAGTGTTCGTCTTTTAATAAATTTCTTATTTGGGGACCAACGAATATACCTTCTTTTATTTTAGCCTCACTTAATCTTGGAAATTTCTGGCGAAGGTAGTGAAAAGCAGTTCCATTTTTGTTCATTGCTTTTACGAAATTTTTCATAAGCCCTAGTTTTATGTGCAGTGGTGGAAGTAACACTTTTTGTGGGTCAACTAAAGGGTTATTTTGAACATTTTTCATCCCAGGCTGAAGTGACTGACGATGAGGCCACACTTTTTTTGTATAATGCTGCTTTCTGTCACGACTGTCCCATTCGCAAAGAAAGCAACAAAATTTCGTATAGCCTAATTGTAGTCCAAGTAGAATAGCTACGACTTTTAAATCTCCGCAAATTAGCCATTGGTGATCATTATATTTTATCTGCAGCAAAAGGGTTTTCATGTTATCATAAGATTCTTTCATATGGACTGCATGACCAATAGGGATCGATGGTAAAATATTTTGGTTATGTAACAATACTGCTTTTAAACTTAATTTAGAGCTGTCTATAAAAAGTCTCCATTCTTCCCGTTTATATGTAATGTTAAGAGATCCCATCAAACCCTGGACATCTTTACAAAAAACTAAACTTTCAGCCATTTCAAAATATTGCATCAAATGTTTTTGTCTGTTACGGAAAGATGTTATAACTACACCACTTTGTAAAAGGTTCCATTGTTGCAATCTTGAACCTAAAAGTTCTGCTTTGTTCTTTGGCAATTCTAAGTCCCTTACGAGATCATTTAATTCAGCTTGTGTTATCCTGTGTGGCTGTGTTGATGTACTAGGTACCTCGTATTCTGACATTGACGAAATTGATGGTGAACTTCCCTTGATTTCATCTTCGTCGTCACCGATGTGAGGACGCTTCGGGATCGGATGAAGATCGCTGTGTGGTAGAGGACGAGTAGCTGATGGTATATTTGGATATGTTATGGCACTCTTCTTTTTTTTAGAAACACCCTTGCCTTTTCCAAATACATGAGTCGTCAGGCAGAAATAACAATCACTTACGTGATTTGTCGATTCTCGCCACTGCATTGGCACTGCAAAACGAAATGATGTTTTTTTGCCATTCAGCCAATTTCTCAAACCTGTAGCACATGGATTACAGCAGAAATGTGGAACCCAGCTTTTATCCTGGTGTTTGATGTTCTCGTTAAAGTAGTAAAAATAGGCTTCTTTTATTATAGGCGATATACAACACCTTTGTTTATTAAATATCACCTCACCGCAGATATAACAAAAATTGTCGGGATTATTAACACATTTTCGAGACATTTTGCTATAAAATAGTATTATACTTTTTACTTTTAACACTTCTATATCGCTTAATTTAAGAGAAAATAGCACTAAATCACAATATTTCGAATATTTGATACAAACTAACTATGTAAATGTCAAAACATTATGAAGTTAAATGTGGGTAGTTCCATTAAACACGAAAGATACGATTATCGTAAAAACTCAAACTAATAAATGAATTTTAGTTATCAATCCGAATTTTGCATGGACAGAGAAGCAGAAATTAGTTTAAATTATTTCGGATACTTTTCCTTGTAGACTAGTGTAATCGACTTTGAATCATTTGGTTCGCCAACCCAAAAACGAACTGATTCCTTAATGCCGTATCTAAATACGCACCAAAGTTGCATCCTCCCGATAATCGACGTAGCGCCACGAGGTATTCACTCGGCCGGTTTCTGCCTTCGTAGGTGAAACCGTCAATTTTCTAAAGTTTCATTTGGTTTCGGGTTAAAATGGTTATCCAAA